CGCCCACCAACGCGGGCACGAAGAGGATGAGCAGGAACAGGCTGCCCCAGCCGCCTCCGACGCCAGCGGACTCGCAGCGAAAGTCGCACTGGCACACGCACTGCGAGGGGCGGCTCGCCAGGTCGGCCAGCAGGCAGCACTCGCCCGTCACGGCCGCCTCGGGCGGAGGCACCTCGCAATGGCAATCCACGGGCCGCGGGAATGCCAGCTGGCGAAAGAGGGCCAGCTCTCGAAGGGCTGAGAGAGTGGCCAGCTAGGGGCCTAAACCCTCCATTTACTCCTGAATGTAAAAGCCTGCAGAGCGGAAGAAGCGGATGCAAAGGCCAGATCATTACCGTGGGGCACACAACTGATGGTGATGATGATGCTGATGCTGATGGATGCTGATGATGCTAATTCTGCTGCTGCTGATGATGACGGTGATGCTGATGCTGCTGCGGCTGCTAGTGATAATGGTGCTGTTGATGATGAAGCTGATGGCTGATGATGGTGCTGCTGATGCTGCTGGTGATGATGATGCTGATGATGATGATGACGAAGAAGATGATGATGATGATGCTGATGATGATGCTGATGATGATGATGATGATGATGATGATGATGATGATGATGATGGTGATGATGCTGATGAGGGGGAGGAGTAGGATGAGTGGGATGAGTAGGGAGGGGGAGCAGGCGGGAGTGGCAGGTGGGGGAGGAGAAGGAGGAGAAGGGGGAGGAGAGGGAGGAGGAGGTGGAGGAGGAGAAGGAGGGGGAGAAGGAGGAGGAGGAGGAGGAGGCGGAGACGGCGGAGGTGGAGGCGGAGGAGGAGGAGGAGGTGGAGGAGGAGGAGAAGGAGGAGGAAGAGAAGGAGGACAGAGGGGTAGGAGGAGGAGGAGGAGGAGGAGGAGGAGGAGGAGGAGGAGGAGGAGGAAGGGGAGGAGGAGGAGGAGGAGGAGGAGGAGGAGGAGGAGGACGAGGAGGAGGAGGAGGAACGCACGTCCCATGGGAATGCCGTCAGGTTACCGACGAACGTGAGCAGCATGCCGTATTGAAAGGTGGTGGTCGTAGCTGCCGAAATGCGATGGGGTTACTGCAAGCTCGGCGCGGACCATATGAAAGATTGAGTACGCAAAACTGACGAGATCGTGGGCAGTCTCAATCGTGAGATCGGTGCCGCCATATTCCTCCTCCGTCCCGAGGCCGAGCCACAGGAAGGTGGGGACGGTAGGAATATGCAAGCGGGGCAAGGCAATGAGGTGAAGCAAGCGGGGGCAGGAGAGGTAGTGGAGGAACACGTCGGTGTGACCAGGGCAGCCAAACCTGCAGGGCAATGGCGTGAGGATCTTAACCCTGTGGCTGGTGATCCACCCTCGGGCGAGGGTTTTAAGGTGGGACCACACCTTGTGCGGCTGAGAACGTGACAAGACTTGGCGAAATGTGAGCCATCCTGTCTCCACATCGGCAAGAGGCAGGGGTTCGGGAGGGAACCACGTCTTAAGCCTCCGGAAGATCAGCTCATATACTCGGTCGGGAAATTCTGATCGCATGAGCTGGGAGATGAAGGCGCCTTGAGGTCCCTGCCCCCCTCGCCCACGACGCTGACGCCCACGACCCCGACCACCCCTTCCTCTAGCGCCTCCATCTAGCCGCCGCGCGGCGGCTGACAGAATACCGAGTTGCCGGAGCCTGTCCTCACCAGGCAAGGGGGGCTCCTGGGGATCAGCAGCAGCATCGATGGTGGATCCGAGCCGCTGGAAATGGGAGGCCGCAGCAGCCTTGGGAGAATTGCCGATAGTATTGTAGCACGCCTCGCTCCTGCATCCAGCAGGGTGCAGAGAGAAGACCTTTGCGCACACGCATGTGCAGACCGTGTACGTCCACCCCCTCCCACCACCAGTCAAAGTCCCGCCTCAGCTTTTCAATGTATGTGCGTCGACGCCCGCCAGGCACAGCCGACAGAATCCACTTGAACACTCGTGGGGGATGCCGATCGCAGCCAACTGCGCACCCCGAAAAAGTCGTGCAGGGAAAATGTACTGGGAGGGAGGCGAAGGAGCTTGTGGAGAGCGTGATATTCTTTGCGAGCGATCTCTTGGCACAGCGGGAAAAACTGAGCAAGGTACCCGAGAACTGACAAGCATGTGTGCTCGTACAGTCTTATGGCCGCCTCGCTGGGAGCGCGGGTACGGGCAATCGCACAAATCCTGGACCACCATTTTTCATCAGCCTCGCGCCAGATCTCGCGCAGGGTGGCCCCGGGACCAATTAGCACCCCTAGATATTTGGCCCACGAGCGCACCTGAAACGATGCCCACGCGGGGACGCGCTGAGCGATGAGCTGGGAGATCCGGGCACACTCCACCATTGTGCAAGCGGCTGCCAATGGAACTGCGACACACTTTGTGGGCTGCAATGCCAATCTGGCCAAGCGCTCGGCGAGCACGAAAATGGCATACAGGAGTGGCAAGAATCGAATTTGATTCAAGACAGCTCCTACATCATCCGCGCAGGCCCCCAGGGTTGTTGCCTCTTTACTGGGGAAGGGGCCGACGAGGTGGCGGAGGAAGGGGTCGAACCCAAGAGCCCAGAGAGACCCGGAGAGAGGGCAGCTCTGGGGAACGCCGGCGATTATGGTAAACATTGGGGTTATCTCTGAGCCTACTGGCATGTGTGCAACAGCGTCGGAACTTAGAGCAAGCACGACCCACAGGATACCCTGCGGAAGGCGTGACCTTTCCAGCGCCATTCGCAGCCAGGTCTGGCTCATGCTGGGAAAAGCCGCGCGCACTTCAAAACTCAGGAAAAGGGGATCCGTGTCCGCATCTACGACGCTGGGGGAGGATGGGGGGAGGAGGAGGAGGAGGAGGAGGAGGAGGAGGAGGGAGGAGGAGGAGGAGGAGGGAGGGGGAGGAGGGGGAGGAGGGAGGAGGGGGAGGGGGAGGAGGTGGACAGAGGAGAGGAGGAGGGAGGAGGAGGAGGAGGGAGGAGGAGGAGGAGGAGGAGGAGAGGGTGAGGGTGAGAGGAGCAAGAGGAGGAAGAGGAGGACAGATGAGTAGGAAGCGGAGGAGGAGCCAGAGGAGGAGGAAGAGGAGGAGGAGGAGGAAGAGGAGGATCGAGGTGATGAAATGAGGGAATATTCGAGGATCGAGGTTCGATTATCGAGGCTTCTGGGCGTTTCTCCCAGGTTTTGGGCCTCAAGGGGGACATGATGCTTCCAATAGCTACATGGATTGGGGGCAGATCGTTTTCTCGTTTTGAACGTTTCCAGCAAGTGCACGGGCGGAGGCCGGTTCCTTTTCAAAACTGGGCTCTCGTCTGGGACATGGTCAGCTGCATACCACTTTGTCGTTGTACATGCAAATCGTTCACGCGTATACGTATCTGAACACACCCGTATATGAGCAACCCCTAACACTGAGTTCATTGAGCTGTGGATGCGAACGACATGTGATGGAAGGTACGTGGGGCACATTGTGTGGTGCAAGATACGTTGTGCAAGGTCGCAGCGGACGGCAACGTGGCGATACCTCACCGGACCCACCCGACGCACGGGGCGGCAACGGGCTGCAACGGGCGGCAACGTGGCGAATCCTCGCCAGACCCACCCAGCGCACGAAGCGGCAACGAGGCGGCAACGGGCGGCAACGTGGCGAAGCCTCGCTGAACCCACCCACCGCACGAGGCGGCAACGAGGCGGCAACGGGCGGCAACGTGACGAACCCTCGCCGGGTCCGCCCAGCGCAGGAGGCGGCAACGAGGCGGCAACGGGCGGCAACGTGGCGAACCCTCGCCGGGTCCGCCCAGCGCGCGAGGCGGCAACGAGGCGGCAACCGGCGGGAACGTGGCGAACCCTCGCCAGACCCAACCTTTTCTTTTAGGGGACAACCCAGCCGCTGGATCGATCAGTGAGAGGCTTCTCTACGGTCGTTTTTCGAAGAGCCAAGTCTGAATCCTCGGGACACTCCCACAGGCGGCAGTGGCAGGCAACGGGCGGCAACAGGCCACGGCATTGCGAATCCTCGGGGCACTCCCGCAGGCGGCTCTGGCTGGCAAATGGCCGGAACGTGGCGCCTCGGGACACCGCCACAAGCGGCAACGGCCGGCCACGGGCGTCCACGGGCCAGAACGTGGCGACGGGCGGCAACGGGGCGGCAACACGCTGGAGCTTTGCGAATCCTCGGGGCACCCATCTGATTCTGTAGACACGCAAGTGCGAACCTCTAAGTGCAAGCGCTGTTTGGGGCATGTGTGTCTTGAGACGCAGCAGGTGCACGGACGGAAACCGGCTCCTTCTCAAAACGGGGCTCTCGCTTGCGGCGCTTCCCCATATCTTGCCCAAGAGCGAATAGCGAGAACTGTTGCAGCAGCAGCTGCACGGATATAGAGGAAGGCTCCTCGTCACAACTATATATCTTTCGCTGGAGACTTCATTGAACTTTATGGTCCTGATCGGTTGGCATTCCTTGCAGCTCCGAGGACGCAAAGGGGGTTCATTTTCAAGCCGGCCCTCTCACCTGCACGGCAGCCCCGCGAGGCACTCGTCTTTCGGCGGGGCGCTTCCCGCCGAGAAATGGCCTCCTTACAGGGAGCTCTGGAGAGGATGCATCTTTAGTGATGCATCCTGGCTTTGCCCTGGCCCTCCAGCTTGGCGGCCCGTGACGGCGTGCCGGGCCTGCCCGCCGCGTGCGCCTCGCCCTCGCCCTCCAGCTCCCCCTGCTCCTCATCTCCATCCTCCTCCTCCTCTTCCTCCTCCACTCTCTCTCCTCCTCGCTCCTCCTCTTCCTCCTCCTTCTCGTCTCCTCACGCCTCCGCCTCCTCCTCCTCCTCCTCCTCCTCCCTCCTTGTCATCCTCTCTCCTCGTCCTCCTTCTTTTCTCCTTCCTCCCACCCTTCCTCCCTCCCTCTCTCCCTCTCCCCCCCTCCCCCACCCTCCCTTCCTCTTTCCTCCTTCTTCTCCACCTTCTCCGCCCTCTCTCTTCGCTGCACCCCCCCCCACCCTCCCTCCTCGCCGCGCGCGGCCCGTGTACGAGCGCCCGTCCGGCCAAGTGAACGTCCCGCCGCCGTGCTTCTGGCCGCGCCTTGCGGCCGACAGGCGTGGGGGGGGGGGAAGGGGTCTTGGCCGCCGCGATACGCAGCACGCAACTCGTAGCACGCTGACACGGAACTCAGCACGTAGATTGAACACACACGTTTGGCGCGACGCTTTCGCCAAGACGCGGGCCAACATGTTGAGCCAACACGCGACGTGTTTTACACGGCCGTTTTGAGCATGGTGCCTGCTGCGTTAGCACGCACGTATCAAGGCAGCAGTCGAGGGGGGTGTTTCTTGGCAGCTGCCTTCAAAGCCAGGCCGCCCTCGCGGTACGGCGTGGAAGGGAACCTGCTGTTTTGTTGTGACACCGAGCGCGCAGAAATGGATGTAGGACATCACGGACCACGCGCACCTGCAGTCGGAATATGCAAGTGCAGCGAACGAGAAGGGCACAACGAATTGTAGGGCAGCGCGAAACACGCTTTCCGACACATGGTTTGGCCACGGGCCAGTCCCACCCACAATGCCGAAGCCCATCACGCCGTTGCGTAGAAAACCGTTGGCCCGTCTGCGTTGCCCACTCGCTCCCCAGCGGCAGGGCCCCACACCAGCCCCTGGAGGCCGACGCGTGGCGGCGAGATGGGCGTCGAGGAGGGCCTCGACGTCCAGGAACGAGGCCCTCGGCAATACCTGCGACATGTCTCGCGACCGACGGATGAAGGGCAGGGGAGGGGCAGGAGGGGGAGGGAGGGAGGGAACGGGAGGGCGAAGGAAGGGGCTATTGGGTGAAGGGAAAGGGGGGGAGCGATAGGAGGGGTGGGGGGTGGGGGGACAAGCCAGGCGCGCTCGCGCCACATGTGATGTCCACACCTTCCCGCCCATCCCTTTCTGTTGCGCCGTGTTATTTCTCCATCCGCCGACGAGTGTCATACCAGACCTGGACCCCCCTCCTAACGGACCCGATTTTGTAATGCGCAACCACAAGAGGGGAGCTGTGTCATTGGAGGAGGTGGCGGATGAGCATGAAGACTAGCAAGAGGAAGCGGAGCAGGAAGGAGGACGCGGAGGAACAACGGCAGCAAACCAGGAGTAGGATTAGCGGGAGGAGCAAAATAACCAGGGGAAGGCGGGGGAGAGAAATTAACGGGGCGACAGCCATGAGGACGAACTCGGATGCTGAGACACCGAAGACGTCCCGATTGGAACAGCCATCAGAACCATCAACCTTTGAACTCATGTGTGAAAAAAAAAACACTTTGCGGAGAGGGCCGAACATCTCCTGGACAGAGCCAGGGGAGCAGGGACGGTATTCAAATTAAGAAATCGTGGGGGAGGGGACAGGGGGGGTGGGAGCGAGGTGGGGGGGGGGGGGAAGGACGGAGGAAGGAGGACGAGGGAGGAGGAGGCGGCAGATGATGAGGATGCTGGGGATACTGCTGATGCTGCTGATGATGCTGGTGATGATGATTCTCTTGTGGCGATAGCTCTCGTTATCATATCATGCGGCTGACTGGCATGGCACCGAGCTGCGACAGACTGGAGCGTGCGTGCGTCTGCGAACTCCCCACTCAGCCTACTCGGCTACGGACAAACGCGATGATGTCCCTCCTGGGAGATGCCACGGAGCAGAGGGTCAACCATGAAAGAAAAGACTCCACGGCATCATGCGTGCTCTCGCAACTCCGTCGGTCATCACATTCGTAGGCACCTCCTCCCCCGCTGGAATGCCCATGGGAGTGCCGCCAGCAAAAAGGCTCGCCCCCGCCGGCGCTGGGGAACTCCAGACATCAGATGGTGCGGAGGCTAGGGCAACCGTAGCTCCCATTGTCCCCATTGATCCACTGGCAAGATTGCGTACGGCTTCCATCGCCAGATACTTCAGGTAGCTGTAAGTCATGAAATCTCGTGGTACGAGCTGGTACCCGACAACGACTCCGCAGGCGAGAGTGAGGATGGTGAGGGACAGGAACACGGAAGTAGGCAAGATGACCACACCCTGAGAAATCCGCTCTTCTTTTCTGTGAGGTACAGCTGTCCGAACAGGAACCTTTGGGCAAGGGTCAGCAAACATGGAACCAACATCAGAATCACTGTCGGCAGCATCGTGGTGAACGTCGATATTTGCTCAGGCCATCTTCTGCACTAGCTGAAACAGAAGGCGGGCCCTTTCTTCTTTTGCTCGTGGTACCTTGGTCGTGGGGCCGCCCATGCGCTTGATGCCATCGTCCAGGCGCTGCACCGCGGCCCTCTGCGACCACTTGTTCCCGATCTCCTTGACGAGCTCCTCCAGCGTGCCCTCGGTGAGCTTCACCATGTGGTCCAGCTCCGCGCAGATGAGGTGGCGCTGGAGCGGGGTGAGCACCTCGGTGGCGGCGCCCGCCGGGGGAGCGGCGCCCGCGGGGGCGGCTCCCAAGCTCCCACTGGCAGGCGCCGTCAGCGGAGGTGGCGGCGGGGACTCCGCCGTGGGGGCCGTGCTCGTGACAGCACTCGCCATGGCCGCCTGCAGGCCTGGTGCCAGAGCCTCCGCCAGGATGCGCCCCTGCCTCGCGAACTCCTCGTCCCTCTTCTCGGCCTCCTTGGTCCTCGCGTACTCGCGGTGCGACGGGTCCTTCTTCCACATGATGCGCTCCGCCAGTTTCAGCTGCTTGTCCGAGTCGTAGGACGACGAGGATGTAGAAGACGACGACCTCGGTCTCTTCTTGTCCTTCTTGCTCTTCTTGTGCTTGCGACGGCTCCGATTGCGTCCGCCATCTCTCGAGTCTTGGTGTTGATCAGGCTTGGCCCACGGCCGCCGATACTGATCTCCTCCAGGTCCGTTCCTCTGATCGAAGCCCTGGCCACGGCCACCGCCTCCTTTGCTGCCGCCTCCCATCGCCCCAAGGGAAGGCAGGAACAGCTTGCCCCGCGAGCGCAGTGCCCGCCTAGCGAGCCGCGCGGCTGGGGACGGAGGCAACGAATGAGATAATGCACGCGCGACCTCGAAGGGATAAGACAGCTTGATAAGCTCGATAAATAACTCCATGATGCAAACATACAAGGCGCCCGTCGGCAACTCCAGAGTCACCCCTCTCGCGATTTTGCCCGGGAAGACTCCCCGAAGGCGTGTAAACGGTACGGGTAGATGGTCCAGGTAGGGCAAGAACGCTGATGAATGAGATGATGGCGAGCCTGCCAACCATTGCCGATTCTGATTTTTCAGCGTCCACTGGATGCACTGGTGGCTCAGGTGGATCTCAAGGTCGAGCCAGGTCGCGCTTCTGGAGCTGGCACTGCTTAGGAAAACGACGCTGATAGGCTCCCTGAAAGTCGCCCGCAGACAACGAACCATACACGTCGGACACAAACGATGCGAGAACGACAGGATATCATCAAAATACCTTACCCATGCAAACACAGATAGAACGTCAGGTCCAGGAAAGCACCATCCCTCGGAGTCGAGTTTGTGGGGATCTCCCAGAACACTAGCTTCTTCATCACCCAACTGGACTGCTACAGCTGCTGAACTCATCACCCCTCCAATACATAAACCCAGCATCTCGACAACGACCTCCCCCACGCATGCTAAACTTATCATGGTAGAGGCTTTCAGGGCGTAGCCAAGCTGAGCTAAAGACAGGACCCACCAGGCGCGATTCCACCGAGAGGGGCCGATGCGGGTGACACATGTGCGCCCCCGTTGGACCATCACCGAGTCAGCTTTCCACCGTTCCTGAAATCTCTTGGCAGTTCTCCCCCATGCACTCATGACCGACTCACCCTTGCACGCCTCGAAAGCCTGATCTACGTCTACGGCTGCGCGCGATAGGCCATCCAACTTGGCCCTGCAGCACTCACATGGCCACTCGCAGCTCCCCTCGTCCGTGATGGTCCGTTCAGGGGGAGTGAGGTGGCTCAGGGTCTCCCTCAGCGCGGGGGCGACGTCGTCCATGCTGAAGACTTCCCTGGAGCGGCCCGTGCCGGCCACGACCGCGCGCACGGCGCGGCCCATGGTCCTCCAGCCCTTCGCGAACGGGGCGCCCGCCATGTCCACGACGCGGCGGACGCAGGAGTGGCCCGCCTTGGTGCAGAGGTGGCCGCCCTGCGGGTGCCAGCACTTGCTCTTGGCGAAGGCAAAGACCCGCGGGATGCGGGAGGCAACTTGCCGAACTCGCCGTTGGAGAAAATCTGGAAGACTAAGGATGGCTCGCGCCTCCGCCCATACTAGGCACGCCGATGGGCACATCTCAGGTCGGAAACGCCACGCCTCTGTGTCCTTAGCCATGCCGAGCAGGAGGTGCGAGGCGTACCCCTCAGTCGTGGTACTCCATGCTCGGGTGTGGAGTCTATCATCATGGAGGAAAATAATCGATGAGCTCAAAGATATAGCCATACGTGTCTCTTCCTTGAGCCAAGCCTTGGGTGCTGGAGGACAGACTTGGCGGGATAGCAGGTTATCCAATGTTGCGCGACACCGTCGTTGCATTCTGGGATGAAGACGCTGTTGTGAACACCAAAAATGCATAGCTTTCAGGGCTGTTCTCTTGATCCGTCGGGCTGTCGGCCACCGCTTCAACCTCCATGGAGCGTCATGCGCCACCACAGAAGGAAGTTGGGCCCATCGTCCTAGATCTGAAACGTTTGATTCGGATACCCAATCCTTTGGTAGATCTCGGAGAACTCGTTTTCCATTCAAGCGCTGTACCCAGGTCTGATCCTTTTGATAGCATGCTTTAATGTGATTCTGGAGCCGCGATCTCGCTGGTGCCACTCGCTTTTCCTGTAGGGGTGGCCATGCAAGCTTCTTGACCACATTTTTATGCTTCCGCAGAAAGATTGGCAATACAATTGGACGCAGTTGCAAAGGTGGGAGCCGTAATCGTCGAAGATGCCATTCAATATTTCGTCGAGCTGCCAGTTGTCGGCCCATTCCCTTCACGTACTTTGTCAAAGAGCCCCCTGCGCGATATAGAACGGAGGCAGCTTGAGCTCCATCCCGCTCTGGTGGAAACTCGAACCGTGGTTTTGCCGAGGCGACGAAAGCGAGGAATGCATTTGCCCACTGCGGTTGTAGGATGGATAGTGGGCCATGCTCCCCTGACGTAAGTAAAATATGTAGCTGCACTCGTTGATGCAAGGTCCTCCACGGACCCCAAATATGAGAAATGGACTTCACCTCCTCCTCACTCTTGAGCTTCTTAGCAAACGCATTCTGAACTGGGTGTGCGAGCCAGGCTGATGACACCGACGCTGTAGCACGAAACCTCTTGTGGGGTCGTCGTCGTCGGACAGGTGGCTTGAGGCGAAGAGGATCCGCCTGCTGGGTCATGGCGCGCAACTGCGCCACATCAAGACCATTGCACGGTGGGTCCAACATGCCGATGAGGCTAGACTCCATGGCCAGGGCCCGCACCTCAGACTCGAAGTGATATACTGGTAGGTAGGCCACGGAGCCCAGCGACTCCCGTAGTAAACGATACCTTGCGATCTTCCCATCACGTGTGGCTGGTAGTCGGAGCGCTCGAAGATGCTCCATCGCGCGGGCCGCGACACCTGAGGGAATCCCCGAGCGACGTTGGCCATTGCACTTGCCGATATAGAAACCAGAGTGCGCAAACAGGACATAGATGTAGGTAACACTCTTGGGCTCGAGGATGTCTGCGTGGACTCCCTTGATGTAGTCCGTGCTCTTCTGCTGGACTGCGGCCTGGACAAGCGGGGGTAACGCAGGCCAGACACGTCGAGCCCAAGACATCGGTCGGCGCCGTACATGAGCTTTGTGAAGAAACGCCATCCCGAGCGTCGACCAAACCACTGCGAGGTTCTCCCCCAGTCCCGTAGTATTACGGCCTGCTACCTGCTGGGGGCCCGCGATCTGGTCTGCTAACTCAGCGACGGCAAGCGACAAAGACGGGACATCATTCTGCTGCAATCTGCCAATCGCCCATCCAGATACCTGAGCTCCAGCTCCCCGTCCAGGGTGAAGGAGAGCTGCTCGAACTTGTTCGACTTGATCCTGCGGCCACCGGCCGTGGTGGGAGGGACGTGGCCACGGCAGCCTGACGGGCATCTGGAACTTCGCCACAGAAATATGTATTGAGCCCTGCACGACCGTGGAACTGCGTTCGGCCACGTGCAGGTGGAAGATGATTCTCTTGTGGCGATAACTCTCGTTCTCATATCATGCGGCTGACTGGCATGTCACCGAGCTGCGACAGACTGGAGCGTGCGTGCGTCTGCGAACTCCCCACTCAGCCTACTCGGCTACGGACAAACGCGATGATGATGCTGATGATGATGATGGTGATGATGATGGTGATGATGATGATAATGACAGTGGCGACGATGATGATGGTGATGATGATGATTTGCTGATGCTGATGATGCTGAGGGGTGATGCTGATCATGACGGTGATGTTGTTGATGATGATGCTGGTGATGGTGAGGATGCTGATTATGCTGTTGATGATCATGCTGATGCTGGTGCTGATGATGCTGCTGATGATGCTGATGCTGCTGCTGCTGATGATGATGATGATGATGCTACTGATAAGAATAATGATGCTGCTGATGCTGATGCTGATGCAGATGCTGATGCTGATGATGCTGCTGATGATTATGCTGATGATGCTGCTGATGATGATGCTGATGATGTTGATGATGCCGATGATGATGCTGCTGATGCTGATGATGATGCTGGTTCTGATGCTGCTGCTGCTGCTGATGATGATTGATGATGATGATGATGGTGATGATGATGATGATGATGATGATGGGGAGGAGGAGGAGGAGGACGAAATGGAGGAAATGGAGGAAAAGGAGGAGGACAAGGTGAGTGGTCTGGATGATCCCCCCTACGCGCGCGCCGCGCGCGAACCGCCGCCTCCCTCCCCGCCGCCGTCGCCCTTTTGGATCCAGATCGCCCCCCCGGGGGAAGGGGGGAGAAGAGGGAATGAAGTCTGGAGTGAGTAGTGACCCCTTGGACGATGACCGCACAGCAGACTGCGGACGGCAACCCGAAACTTATTTTTCATATGAAGCCCTGTCGCTGTCAGGAAGGGTAATCATAAGAGGGCGAGGGCGCGGGTACAAGAGGAACTGCGCCTCCTCCTCTCTCCCTCGCTCCTGCTCCCTCCCCGGGGAGAAGGAGGGGGAAAGGGGTAAGTAGGAAGAAGCGGTGGAGAAGGAGGAGCAGGGAGGAGAAACAAGGGGACGAGGAAGGGGGGGCGAGATGAGGGGGGAGGAGGGCGAGGAAAGAGGAAGGAATGTAGAAGGTTGAATGTACGCAAGGGCGTTTTGGATTTAATCGACAGGGAGACCTTCGGCGAAAATCCAAGCGACATCCGCGCGAGGACAGCGGGTTGACAACACGCTGACTGGAATTTCAAGCGATCCGAGGCTATCCGGCGGCCGAACCATGAAAAGTGGTGAGTTCCGACAGCGCGGCGGACGTATCTCGTTAGCGGCGAAGACGATTTTTGTCGTGTCCACCGAAACGCGCCGAAAGGCGAACCATTAGCAAACTGCCGATGCGCGGAACCAAGCCAGACCGTGCTGGCGGACAAACTGGCAGAGACTTCAGAGGAGTCGTGATTCATTTCTGCCCAGTCGAAACGTACGGCTTCACATGGGGAATCTTGCCATCATCCACTTATCGCCTTTGTGTGAACGCTGGGTCTCCACTATACGCGCCATTTTGTATGACGTCGTTGGCCGGAACCGCTCCAACGCAACGCAGTATATTCTGCAACCCATGCCATGTTCAGGGGTTCCACGGGCAAGCCTTTCGAAGTTCATCCAGCCGCAGCGACGAAGAGCCTCCTGGGCGCCCAGCAAGGGCGACACGCCCAAACACCTCGACCCTCGCTTCTCGAACCTCTCTCTCTCTCTCTCTCGATTCTCCTTCTCCTCCTCCTTCTCTTGCCTGCTACCCTTTGGGCGGGAAAGGAAGGAGTGCTCATTCCCGCTCCCAAGAGGCCTCCAGAGACCCCCCATGGGCCCGAACAAGGGAGGCCCAAACCGCCCCCCCAAACACGATCCTCGATCCTTCCTTCCACACGCTCTTCCTTCTCGGCACCCGTGCAGCCGCTCGCCCAGGATACCATGGGGGCGGTGGATATTGATACACGTGAACACCAGGCGGCCCGAATCTATGCACATTCGCCGCCTCCCGATGTCCAGAGCGCTTCCCCAGTCGGTGGCCACGTAAACATCCCCGCCTCGGATCCTCCTCCTTCTGCTGTTGCGCTCAGCCCTCGAGACATGAAGCCGTGGTGTCCAGACATGCAGGCAAATACGCGTGCACAGAAGAGGAGGAGGAGTAGGAGGAGGAGGAGAAGGAGGAGCAGGGAGGAGGGGGAGGCTGAGGAGGAGGAGTGGGAGGAGGGGGAGGCTGAGGAGGAGGAGGAGGAGGAGCAGGAGGAGGAGGAGGAGGACGAGGAGGACGGGGAGGACGAGGAGGAGGAGGGGGAGAGGAGGATAAAGCCAACCTTGCCTAGCCCCAGGCCGCCTCCTCCTCCTCCTCCTCCTCCTCCTCCTCCTCCTCCTCCTCCTCCTCCTCCTCCTCCCCCTCCTGCTCCTCCTTTTCCTCGCGGCCCGCTGAGGGGTGCCCTCCCTCGCCCCGCCTGTACTGGCCGATGTAGCAGGCGCCGCAAGAGAACGAATACTTACCCTTGCGCGCACCGTTTGGGGTGGGTGGCGTGTGTGTGTGTGTGTGTGTGTGTGTGTGTGTGAGTGTGTGTGTGTGTGTGTGTGTGTGCGTGCGTGTGTGCGTGTGCGTGTGCGTGTTTATGTGGGGGGGGGGGGCGAACGAGGACGAAGACAAGGAGGAGGAGGACGTGGAGGGGGAGGCGGAGAAGAGGGCGGAGGAGGATCATGGTGATGATGAGGAGAAGGACGATGCTGCTGATGTTGATGCTGCTGCTGACGATGATGCTGATGATGATGCTGCTGCGGCTGATGCTGCTAATGTTGGTGATGATGCTGATGATGCTGAGGATGATGATGGTGCTGATGATGCTGATGCTGATGCTGATGCGGATGATGCGACTGATAAGAATAAGGATGATGCTGATGCTGATGCTGATGCTGAGGATGATGCTGATGATGCTGAGGATGGTGCTGATGATGATGATGATGATGATGATGATGAGCAGGATGATGAGTAGGATGATGATACTCTTAATCTTGCTGATGCTGAAAATGATGGGCCGACTCAGGTTTTGCTGTTGTTGCTGATGATGCTGCTGATGAGCTGGATGAAGAGGATGAGGATGATGAGGATGATAATGATGGAGAGAAAGACGAGGAGGAGGAGGGTGAGGCGGATGAGGAGGATGAGGAGGAGGAGGGGAGGAAGAGGGCGGGGCGTGTGAGCGAATGATGGAGATGCTGTTATCGATGATGCAGCAGATGATAATGCTGCTGACGGCTATGCTGATGATGGTAATGGTGGTGATGATTATGAGACCGGCGACGATGATGGTGCTGATGATGATGCTGCTGATGCTGATGGTGATGCTTATGATGCTGGAGATGATGCTGCTGCTGATGATTATGGTGCTGGTGACGAGGAGGCGGAGGCTGATGAGGAGAAGGAGGGCCAGAGGTTGAGGGGGGCGTGGCGGACGATGAGGATCAAGATGAACGTGATGATGCTGCTGCTGATGATGCTGATGATGACGATGATGCTGCTGGTGATGATGACGATGCCGATACGTATGCTGATGATGATGGTTCCATACGCTTCTTGATTTGTGCGTGTCATCCTTGCGCAGGGGCCATGCTGATCTTCTCTGTATCGTTCCAATTTTAACGAATTATCCCCGACGGGAATCCATGACTATGATGCTGCTGCTGATGATGATGACGGTGATGATGTTGACGATGATGCTGATGCTTTTGATGATGATGATGATGATGATGATGATGATGACGACGATGATGATGATGACGATGCTGCTGATGCTGATGATGATGATGAGGATGATGATAACGATGATGCTGCTCCTGCTGATGATGCTGCTGCTGACGGCGATGATGATGCTGATGATGATTGTGATGGTGATGATGCTGCTTATGAAGATGATGCTGCTGACGATGTTGTTGATGATGATGATGGTGATGTTGATGATGATGATGATGATGATGATGATGATGATGATGATGATGATGATGTTGATGGTGATTATGACGATGAGGAGGAGGAGGAGGGGCAGAGGAGGAAGGGCCGGAAAGGACGATGAGGATGAGGATGAGGATGCTGATGAGGATGCTGATGATGCTGATGATGGTGATGCTGAGAAAAATCTGATGGTGGTGATGCTGATGAAGATGATGCTGATGCTGCTGCTGATGATGATGAGGATGAGAAGGAGGAGGAGGGGCAAGAGGAAGAGGAGGAGGAGCAGGAGGAGGAGCTGGAGGCATCGCACAAATGGGAACAACGCATTCGTCAGCGGTGGCAGGGAACTCGTGCCGCCCGCGTGTGAGGGGCCACTGCGGGCATGGCAGAGTCGAGCGGCACGAGCAGGCGACACAGGCGGGCGGCGGCATGCTTGGAACACAAGGTGCAGCATATCAACGGCGACGGCATGCGAGAGCAGTTCGGGGGTGGAGGCGTAGGAATCGGAGGAGGAGGAGGAAGACAACGAGGATAAGGGAGGAATCTCGGATCGGATCGGGCTCGGCAGTGCGCCCGTGTATCAGGTCGCAATGTACCATCACTACAACTCGTTGCACGCGCGCGTGCAAGTCAGACAGTCAGCAGCCGTGCCATTTACGCGGGGGACCCACGGGACAAGCGCAGGACAACTCCGCGCGGCACCGCGAGACGGGGCAGCGACATTCTGTCGACCTGGGCCCAGCTACGGCCGCCCTTGCACAACATCGCATCGCCCGCATGCAGCGACACGAACCGCGAAATATCCTCACACCCTGGCCTAAAACTGCCAGCGAAATATCGCCAACCCCCTGACTTAAAACTGCCTGCGAACTATCCTCACACCTCTCGAATAAAACTGCCACCGAAATATCCTCACCCTCTGGCCTGAACCTGCCAGCGAAATATGGTCACTCCCCCGGCCTTACAACTCCCAGCGAAATATCCTCACATACATCGAACAAAACTGCCAGCGAAATATCCTTACCCCCCTGGCTTAAAACTGCCACCGACATATCCTCAACCCCTTGACTTGAAACTGCCAGCGAGTATCCTCACAGCCCTCGCTTGACACTGCCAGCGATGTATCCTCACCACCCCTGGCCTAAAACTGCAAGCAACATATCCTCACCCCCTGGACTTAAAACTGCCAGCTAATTATCCTCACCCCCCTGGCTTGAAACTGCCAGCGAAATCTCCTCATCACCCCTGGGAAACAAAACTGCCAGCAACATATCCTCACCGCCCCTGGCCTAAAGCTGCCAGCGACATATCCTCAACCCCCTGGCTTAAAACTGCCAGCAAAATCTACTCACCCCCTAGCCTAAAACTGCCAGCGAAATATCCTCACCACCCCTGGCCTAAAACTGCCAGCTAAATATCTTCACCCCCTGGCCTAGAAACCGCCAACGAAATATACTCAACCCCCTGGCTTCACGCTGCCACCGAAATATCCTCACCCCCGGAAATGCCACTGCCATCTAAAACAGCTGTGGTGACTCAATCATCAATTCAGTCAGTCAATTAGTCAGTCAATCAATCCGTCAATCAATCAGTCAGTCTACTTCCCGGAAATCAAATTACGGGCTGCGCCCGTAAGACACAATGGCGAACGTTCACCCGTGCCTGGTAGAAACTTTGGATGCGCATGCGGCCTCACAATTCCAAACCTTGGGTCGCCCCCGTACCAGCTCGGTTAGGGTGGTCCAGAACAGAAATCACAATAGAGAAACGACTGTGCAACAATGTAGAGATACTGGGCGAACCATGACGGGTTGGACTCGAACACGTGGTCAGGAAGAAACGCCTTATGTGCTTCGGGTCTCTTCTCGTGACTGCACCCTTGGCGCTCATCTTCTTGACGGAGCAAATGGCTTGCGAATTTGGGCCCTGGGCGATTCTACTTCACGGAACGTTGCGGTTGTGGGTGCAGTTTGGCGCTGACCAGTGCTAGCAGTCTGCGGCCATGTCCAGCGTGCGTGGCGTCCTTTCTTGGCACACGCATTGGGTTCAACTCAAGGGTCGAGACATCAACTCAGGATTTACACACTGCCAAGAAAGCCGTTTGCTCGGACCAAGCTCAGTACAGAAGCTGCACGTGCGGGGCGACGTCGACGACACTTGCAGCACGGAGGGAACACGTCGTGTCCTCCCCCGGGGCCCCGCCCCCCCTTCCTCTCCTCCTTCTTCTCCCGTTCCCTGTCCTCCTCGTCCGTCTCCTCCTCCTTCCGCGGTCAGGCGGCGAGGTGGGCGAGGCCTGGCCATGCATCTTGCCCTTGAACCACTCGCCCTCGTACTTCCTCCCGGAGTCCCCGCAATGCCAAATGTAAACGCCTGACGAAGCCCGCGCCGGCCGCGGAGCATATGGCGCGCGGCCCCACGAACGGCGAGCTGTTGCAGCCGCGCTCTCTGCGCGTCGCGAGGCCGCCGCTGCGCGCACCGCCGCAGTCAACGATCGCCAAGGGACTCCGTGACCTCGCGGATGCTGCGCATCGGGGCGCTGACAGCTACACAAATGTGCATACATGTATATGTACATGTATCGTTATATGCGTATGTAGAGGTACATTTATATATATATATATATATATATATATATGCATGCATACGCATATTCACATTTATATATAATATGTGTGTATATATGTATTTGTGCAGGTGTAGATATGTATGTGTGCATGCACATATGTACGTATGTTCGTATGTTCATATGTGCGTGTGTACATGTGTATGTATACATCATGCCTGTCTGCCTCTCTGTCTTTCTGTCTGTCTGTCTATATGGCTGCATGTATGTGTGTATGTATGTGTATGTAAGTCTATGTGTAGGTGTATGCGTATGTGTATGGTTGTATGTGTTTATGGTGTGTGTATATATATATATATATATACATGTATGTGTGCATGTACGTATGCATGTAGGTATGTATGTGTGTATGCACGAATGTATGCATGCATGCATGCATGCATGTATGTATGAATTTGTGCATCGGTAGATCTCTCTCTCTTTGTGTATACATTCGATCGGAAGCTGGGGGGTGAGTCCGACGTGAAACGGATACCCATCCTACCAGGAAGTCGATTTCGGTTTCGGGTTCGTGTCGTGCGTGCCGTGCGTGCTGGCGAGGCGAAGCTGCGCGAGCGGGCGAAAGGAAATCCTCCTGTGGCTGGGCCGCGGCTGGACCAAATGTTGCTCCTCTGGAGGCCGGTGCCGCGCGGTGTCCCGCCGGTGTCCCGCAGGTGTCCCGAAATCCTCCTGTGGCTGGGCCGCGGCCGGACCAAATGTTGCTCCTCTGGAGGCCGGTGCCGCGCGGTGTCCCGCCAGTGTCCCGCCGGTGTCCCGTGGTGTCCCGTGGTGTCCCGTTGAGTGAGATCGATCGTGAGATCGATAGTGAGATCGATGTGGTGCCCCGAGGTGTCCCGTGGAGTCCCAGTGAATGAGATCGATAGTGAGATCGACAAGTGTCCCGTGGTGTCCCGTTGAGTGAGATCGATAATGAGATCGGTACTGAGGTGTCCCGTGGTGTCCCGTCGTGTCCCGCTGAGTGAGATCGATAGTGAGATCGACAGGTGTCCCGAGGTGTCCCGTGGTGTCCCGTTGAGTGAGATCGATAGTGAGATCGATCGTGAGATCGATATAGTGAGATCGATGTGGTGTCCCGAGGTGTTCCGTGGTGTCCTATGGTGTCCCGCTGAGTGAGATCGATAATGAGATCGATAGTGAAACCGATAATGAGATCGAGAGAGTCCCGAGGTGGCCCGTGGTGTCCCGTGGTGCCCCGTTGAGCGAGATCGATAGTGAGATCGACACATGTCCCGTGGTGTCCCGTGGTGTCCCGTTGAGTGAGATCGATAGTGCGATCGATTGAGTCAGATGTTGGTGCACCCCCTCTCCCCCCTCACAACCTCCTTATCACCCGAAGGGTGGTGGTATAGGTATATATATATATACATATATATGTATACGTATAGATGCATGCGTAGACGTATGTATGTACGCATGTATGCATATGTAGACATCTCGCGCTCTCTCTCTCTCTCTCTCTCCCTCTCTCTTTGCGTATGTAGATCAGATTATCAACCCTCCATTGTTGCGTTCTCGCTTTGAATCGAACACTGTGACCGCGTCCGTCCTTCCTTCCCACCTCGCTCCTTCCTCTCTCTTTCTCTCTTCTTCTCTCTCTCTCTCTCCTCAGCTTCTCTCTCTTCTCCTCTTGTCTGTCTCTCTCTCTCTCTCTCTCTCTCTCCCCCCCCCTAATCTCTCTCCCTCTCTCTTTCTCACTCTCCTATTCTCTCTCTCTCTCACTCTCTCTCTCTCTCTCTCCTCAGTATCTATCTCCTCTTGTCTCTCTCCTCTTCTTTCTCTCTCTCTCTCTCCTCGTGTCTCGAACCTCTCTCGTGCACCTCGGCGTCGCTGGGGGGGCTGCGAAGTGCGACCCTTCGCCGCTTTCGAAGGCTGCTGGGGGGTCCAGCGGAGTGTCGTCCTACGCCGATCAGGGCGGGACCTCGCCGTCGGGGGGGGGGAGGCTGCGAATTGCGCAGCTGTCGCCACGTTTGGGGGCTGCCGGGTGGTCCAACGGGGTGGCGTACTACGCAGATCAGAGCGGGACCTCGCCGTCGATGGGGGGATGCGAACTGCGAGCCCGTCGCCACTTTCGAGGGCTGCAAGGGTGTCCAACGGAATGGTGCCCTACGCAGATCAGAGCGGGACCTCGCCGTCGCTGGGGGGCTGCGTACTGGGAGGCTGTCGCCACTTTCGAATGCTGCTCGGTGGTCCATCGGAGTGACGTCCTACGCAGATCAGGGCGGGACCTCGCCGTCGCTGGGGGAGCTGCGAACTGCGCAACCGTCGCCGCTTTGAGGGCTGCTGGGGGGTCCAGCGGGGGGACGTCCTACGCAACGCAGAGCGAGACCTCGCCGTCGCTGGGGGGCTGCGAGCTGCGAAGCTGTCGCCACTTCCGAATGCTGCTGGGTGGTCCAGCGGAGTGCCGTCCTACGCCGATCAGAACGGGACCTCGCCGTCGCTGGGGGGGGGCTGCGAACTGCGCAACCGTCGCCGCTTTGAGGGCTGCTGGGGGGTCCAGCGGAGTGACGTCCTACGCAACGCAGAACGAGACCTCGCCGTCACTGGGGTGGCTGTGAACCGCGAAGCTGTCGCCGCTTTTGAGGGCTGCTGGGGGGTCCAACTGAGTGGCGGTCTACGCAACGCAGAGCGGGACCTCGCCGTCGCTGGGGGGCTGCGAGTTGCGAAGCTGTCGCCACTTCCGAATGCTGCTCGGTGGTCCATCGGAGTGGCGTCCTGAGCAAATCAGAGCGGGACCTCCGTCGCTGGGGGGGCTGCGAACTGCGCAGCCGTCGCCACTTTCGAGTGCTGCATGGGGGGTTGAGCGGAGTGACGTCCTACGCAGATCAGAGCGGGACCTCGCCGTCGCTGGGGGGCTGTGAACTGCGAAACTGTCGCCACCCTCAAGGGCTGCTCGGGGGTCCAACGGGGTGACGTACCACGCAACTCAGAACGGGACCTCGCCGTCGCTGGGGGGCTGCGAGATGCGAAACTGGCGCCACTTGCGAAGGCTGCTGGGGGGTACAGCAGGGTGATGTCCGCCGCAAATCAAAGCGAGACCTCGCCGTCGCTGGGGGGCTGCGAACTGCGAGCCCGTCGCCATTTGGTGGGTCCACGGGGGTGACGTCCTTCTCAGATCAGAGCGGGACCTCACCGTCGTTGGGGGGATGCGAACTGCGCAACCGTCGCCACTTTCGAGTGCTGCTCGGTGGTCTATCGGAGTGTCGTCCTTCGCAAATCAGGGCGGGACCTCGTCGTCGTTGGGGGGGAGCTGCGCAACTGTCAACTTCCTCGAGGGCTGCTGGGGGGTCCAACGGGGTGACGTCCTACGCAACGCAGAGCGGGACCTCGCCGTCGATGGGGGGTGCGAACTGCGCAACCGTTGCCAGTTTCGAAGGCTGCAGGGGTGTCCAGCGGAGTGACGTCCTACGTAGATCGGAGCGGGACCTCGTCATCGCTGAGGGGGGGCTGCGAGCCGCGAAGATGTCGCCACTTTTGATGGCTGCTGGCGGTCCAGCGGAATGACATCATACACAACTCAAGGCGGGACCTCGCCGTCGCTGGGGGACTGCGAACCGCGAAGCTGTCGTTAATTTCGAGGGCTGCTGGGGGTCCAACGGAACGACGTCCTACGCAGATCATAGCCGGACTTCGCCGTCGCTGGGGGGCTGCCAACTGCAAAGTTGTTGGCGCTTTCGAGGGCTGCTGGGGGGTCCAGCAGAGTGACGTCCTACGAAGACCAGAGCGGGACCTCGCCCCCCAGAAACCTAGCTAGTCACCTCCATCAAGCCCTGGTCAATCGATCGGTGTTCTGCGGGTCGCGCAGCTCGCGAGCCTCCCAAGTAACGGTCGCAGAACATATACCTCCTTGCAACGTTATCATCCCCATAAAGTCTACCCATCTATTCTGGCCACGCGTTGCGCAGAGGTTGGGTACGTCGCCAAGGTAATGACTCGAGGGTTGGATCCAGTCCGCCGCAAATGAAAACAATGACATACAGGCATACGTCGATAGGCGGTCAGAGCCTCGGATTTCGCTGTAGTGTCCGAGGTGGATGCGCAGCTTTCTGAGCAACGGCATACGTCGAGCCCGCATGCATCATCAGTTTTTGGAACAACCAACGGTCCTGCCATCAGCAGTGGTTGCCTGACCCACGGCCAGGACATGAGAATTACCAACTCGCCTGGCATCCCGTCGCTGTACATGAACTGTACAATCGAACTCGGCACACTCGTCCCGAGAGAAACGACTAAACATATGAAGCACGGCGCAGATGTCGTCCCAACACCGCGCGGGCCGACTATCACGAAACTGAACCAACATACGCAAGAGAGACCAGAAGTGCGTGCCAGAGACTTGGGAAACACCGTCTGCTTGACAGACGATGCGCTGGGGAACCCTCTCTCCGTGCTTGGCGTGAGCACGGGCCCGGTAACGCAGAGCTCGGCTCGAGGCGAAAACTGATTCACAACGATCGCATATGAACGAGAGGACCCCAGGCCCCTCTGCGGGGCCAACAGGCTGCGCGGCTGAGATTTCCTGCGCCCTGTGCTAGTTTCAATCTCCAATGTCCAATGTCACAGTTTTAGTTTCTACTTCCTACTGCAAATTGTTGCTGTCCGCGCGAGGAGGGCTGATCGAACACCAGCCTAGCCACCACGCCCGAGCCGCATGCTCTAAATTTTGTTGGGGCTCTGGGACACGTGCACATTCATACGACCACCATACGGGTGTTAAGGAGGTTCGGGAAGGGGAGGAGGAAGCAACGTC